AGAGTATATTGTCTATTATGAGAGAAGTAATGTTATCACTCTATTCTACTTTATTCTTCACCTGGAATACTGTGTCCAGTTCTGGGCACTACAATTCAGAAAGGATACTGAGAAGCTGGAGTGTGTCCAAAGGAAGGCAACCAGAATGGTGAAGGGCTTGGAAACCATGCCCTATGAGAAATGATTTAGGGAGCTGGAGAAGAGACATTTAAGAGGTGACATGATAGTCATGTTTAAATATTTGAAGAGATGTCACATTGAGGCTGGAGCAAGCTTATTTTCTGCTACTCCAGAGACTAGGGCATGGGGAAATGGATTCATACTACAGAAAAAGATATTCCACCTCAACATTAGGAAGAACATCCTGAGTGAAACATATTACCTCCAAGTGTGGTGGAACCTCCTTCTTGGAGGTTTTTAAACAGAGTCTGGATGGCCATCTGTTAGAGTGCTTTAATTGTGTGTTCCTGCATGGCAGGGATTGAATGGGCCTTGTGGTTTCTTCATTCCCTATGATTATAAGTTCTAGAACTACAAGACATATTAATTGTTCAGATCCTATTCTGTATCTTTGCATTCTTTGTTCACTCTCTGAAAAAGCCATAATCTTAGAGTCAAGATTTCTAAATCATATTGAAAGTACAAAAGTTATCTGTATAGGTCAATTGGGTCAATTTACTTTTTTCTTATTTGTAGACAGCTCTTCATAGACATCTGTCCATTCTGAGACTATTCCAGTAGGTCAAAACTGATGGCCATTACAGCTTCTATGCATCAACACAGATGCCTGCCGAGCCCTGGTGGTGCAGTGCCTCAGTGGTTAGATGCTGATACTGCAGACATAACATTGTACATTTGATCCTAGAGGAGGGCTCCAAGGTCCACTCAGCCTTCCATGCTTTTGTAGGTAAGAAGTGATCAATATACATCCCCATCCACAAAAAGGGAGACACAAGAGACTGCAGCAACTATAGGACCATAGCACTGATCTGCCATACAAGCAAAATTATACTCAAAATTCTGCAACATAGACTCAACCATACATGGAGAGAGAAACCCCAGAGGTCCTAGAGGGGTTCAGGAAAGGAAGAGGCATGAGGGACCACATTGCAAACATGTGATGGCTAATGGAGTGCACCAGGAAATTTCAAAAGAAAATCAGCATGTGCTTTATAGACTATAGCAAAGCCTTTGATTGCATAGATCTATGGAATGCCCTTAAAGACATGGTAGTGCCAACACATCTGATAGTTCTGATGAGGAATTTGTACTCAGGACAAGAGGCTATTGGCAGAACAGAACACAGAGAAACAGAATGGTTCCCAATTAGCAAAGGAGTTGGACAAGGTTGTATCCTTTCACCCTATCTGTTCAACTTGCATGCAGAGCATATTATAAGAAAAGCAGGCTTGGACACAGAAGAGGAGAAGTAAAAATAGGAGGAAGGAATATCAACAATCTAAGACAGGGGTAGGCAAGCTTTCCCCTTTAAGGGCCGAGGGACTTCAGCTCCCAGAATCCCAGGAGCTATTGGCCAACATGGGACTATTGGCCAACATGGCTGAGGCTTCTGGGAGCTGAAGTCCCTTGGCCCTTAAAGGGGAAAGGTTGCCTACCCCTGATCTAAGATATGCAGATGACACCATAATACTAGCGGAAAACCTCACAGACCTGGAACACCTAATAAGGAAGATCAAAGAAGAAAGTGCTAAGGCAGGCTTACTGCTGAACATAAAGAAAACAAAAATAATGACAACGGAGAATCATGACAAATTCAACATAGGAGTTTATCACATGGGGGAAATCCTGTGCGGAAACTGGGCGGTAAATTAAAAAAACCCCGCAAAAGAGGTTATTTTTTTCAGACAACGTCACTGTTAAAATGGAGTTAACCCGAACAGAAAGTAGTCAGAAACTGCTTCTTTTTACTTTCAGAAAATCCTGAAAGTAAAAAGAAGTAGTTTCTGACTACTATCCGTTCGGGTTAACCCCATTTTAACAGCGACGTGTGTGAAAATCTAACTGTTTTTGCGGGTTTCCCCCACCTTTTAATTCCCGTTTCTGCACAGGATTTCCTCCGTGTGATAAATGCCCTAGACAATGAAGACATAGAAGTGGCAAAAGAGTTCTCATACCTGGGATGAAACACTGATAGAAATGGGGACTGCAGTCAAGAAATCAGAAGATTAAGAATGGGAAGAGTGGCTATGAAAGAACTAGAAAAGATTCTAAAATGCAAAGACATACAGCTAAACTCAAAAGTGAGAATCATACAAGCCACTGTATTCCCTATTACTATGTATGAATATGAAAGCTGGACAATGAAGGAAGCAGATAGGAAGAAAATAAATGCATTTGAAATGTGGTGCTGGAGAAGAGTGCTGAGGATCCCATGGACAGCCAAAAAGACAAACAAATGGGTCTTGGAGCATATCAAGCTAAAGATCTCCCTGGAAGCCAAGATAACAAAACTGAGGCTATCATACTTTGGGCACATCATGAGAAGGGAGAACACACTAGAAAAAACAATAATGCTAGGAAAGGTGGAGGGAAGTAGGAAGAGAGGAAGGCCACATGCCATGATGGATGGACTCTATTAATGAGGTCACAGGTATGGGTTTGCAGGATTTAAGCAGAGCAGTGGAGGACAGGGGGGTCTTGGGGATGTCTCATCCATAGGGTTGCCATGGGTTGAGATTGTCTTGAGGGCAGTGAACAACAACAACAACAACAACAACAACAACAACAAATGAGTACCCACCTTGGTGGAAGCAATTAGCTCACACATTCTAAACTGCTTAGAGAGTTCTAGTTCACTGATAAGCAGTATAGAAATGCACTTGCTATTGCTATTGTTATAACTGCTGAGACAGATGATTCCCCACATGACATTTTATTTAATTCTAGAACTCTCCCTGTTTATAATGTAAAATTGTTTTTTAATGAAGACTTTCAAGAAGACTGTTCTCTTTGTGAACATTATTATGTTAATCATTATCATGCCTGTACCTAAGATGGTACTAACACAATGCAGCAATTTAAAGCAAATACAATCCCATAAAAGGGGAAATTTACCACAAGCTTTCTTTGTTCAACAGTCCCTTTTTTCTTCCTTTTCACTGTTGATTCTTTGAAGGTGGCTGTTTCATACCACATGGGCATCTGTCTGGTGACAACCTTCCTGCTTTTGCTGTCTATTTCTGTGGGATCTTGGGATCTCTTGCTTGATGCCTTAGAAAGAACAGATGAAGATGATGCCTCTGAACCTGCTATAGTTGAGAGTCTTCTTCTAGAAAAAATGAACTGGCAGTTGCTGGGATCTTCACTGGAAAAAGGTACTACAGAAAATGGTCTCTGAAGCAGATCCCAGGACTCTGATGCCTTTGGCACAGGGGATAAATATGCAGATGTATTAAGCAGAGACATCTTTTTAGAGGGTGTCCATACATCTGCTGGAGTGCTGTGACTCACTATTACCTTTTTTCGAAGCCTCTTGACATTTAAAGAAATTTCTTTTTCTTTAGACATTTTTGTAACAAAATGCCACTTAATTTTTTTAATCAGTCAGAAATATTTTTGGAAGAAGAATTTAATTAATTAAATTATCAAAATGCTTCTGCAAATTCACATCCAGCCAGCTACTATGAGACTTTCCTTGATTAGCCAGAAGATTTTCTACTGTGTTCAGTGGAGGTTGGAATTCCTCTAAATGATATCAATAAGCAGAGGGGTTGCTGTATATGGTAACAGTTGATAGGTTTCTCTGAAAAAGAATAGACCTATCATTATTGTTTTCCCCAGCAATCTAATCTTCTTTTATAGTATGATACAATGTACTATTGGATGCTCACTCAAACCACAAAAGCATACAACATACTACACTGAAAAGGGAAGAGTTGCACATTTTAATTAAGGGCCTTTGCAGACTGCCAGAAATAGTGCAAATTGAGTCCACTTTAACTGTCCTGGCTCAGTGCTAGGGAATCATGGGAATTGTATTTTTTTCTGAGACATTGAGCCTTCTCTGTCAGAGAGCTCTGGTGCCACAATAAACTACAGTTCCCATGATTCCCTAGCACTGAGTGAGGGCAGTTAAAGTGGACTCAATTTGCACTATTTCTGGCAGTCTGCAAAGGCCCTAAGTTTCTTCAGAAGTATGTTTCAGTCAGTTCAGTGAAATTTAGTCCCTAATAAGTATGCTTATGTACTTCTTCACACTAATTTGTACTAGACTTTTGCTTCCAGGTTAATAGACAGTTAGACTACAAGACTCTCACTCAGGCTGCATCCACATTGCAGAAATAATCCAGTTTGAAACTGCTTTAACTGCCATGGCTCCATGCTATGGAATCCTGGGACTTGTAGTTTGATGGGGCACCAAAGCTCTCTGACAGAGAAGGCTAAATATTTCACAAAACTACAATTCCCAGGATTCCCTTGGATTGAGCCATGACAGCTATAGTGGTATGAAACGGGATTATTTTTGCAATGCAGTTGCAGCTCCCGAGACCTAAATTCTGTTGTTGGACTTAATTAGAGTAGGCCCACTGAATCAATGGGATTTACCAATGTGTTGACTCAATTTGAGTTGGGAATCCAACAGAATGCTAGGCTAAGCATGCTTATTGGGGAGAAAGTCTCCATCAACTCAATGGGAAATACTTATAAGAAGCAGGCCAATATAATGCTGCCTGACTGCAGTCCTGCTCTGTTAAAATAATTAGGAATCTTGCTGTTTTTGCAAGGAACAGATTACAGTCCAATCAAGGTTATCAGCTTTTTTCACAGACCCTTCTCCTGTGACAAACAGCAGCATTACAGAAATGTAACAAATGAAGCATTAGAAAAAATCTTCACCACTTCCTGTCTATTGTATATTGTACATTTTGTGCATTGTGCATTTTGGTTAGCCAATAAAGGTATCACTGATGGATTTTTGTTTGAATTTGCATGGCAAACACAGCTACCCCTGAATGTTTTTGGTTAATATGAGAAGTAGACCCAGTGTGGCATAGTGCTTTGAGTGTTGACTATGATTCTGGAGACCAGGGTTCAATTCCCTGCTCAGCCATGAAACCCACTGTCACATGCTTTCACCCTAAGGGAAGGCAATGGCAATCCTCTGAAAAAATCTTGGCAGGAAAAGCCCATGATAGCTTTAGGGTCTCCATAAGTCAGATCAACTTGAAGGCACACAGGAACAACAAACTAGAAACAACAAACTCTAAATAAAATGATTTTTCTTAACAAACTAAAAGGGTATACATTTGCTGCATCCACATTTTATTTAGAGCAAAAAAAAAAAAAAGCAAGCTAGAATTTGCCAATATCACATACAAAAACTGTCCCATATATTTAAAAACATTTTAATACCTTACAATGCAATTTTATATTCAGCTACAGAATAACAAGTTCACTGGGATAAGAAGACTTTAGCCTTCATTTCTTACCAAGTTTTCTCTTTTTATTTTGAAACAGCTGTTCTCTCTAGACAATTGTAGCAGATGTGTTTCCTAGTTGAAATGAACTGACAAGTTTTTGTAGCATGTTGCTTCCTGCCTGAACCATAGTCATATTTTGTCTTCACTGAAGTGTAAACTGAAACAAAAAAGAGAAAAAGGTCATCACCTGTTCCTATTTAGGTTAGGGAGGAGTCATTTCCCTCAACTATTCTGAAGTTGCAGGATTTCTGTGGTAGGGTACACACCTGCAGTTTCCCTTGCATATCGTAAGCTTCTCAGCACAACTAAACAATTGCATCAAGGAGGAAAACTCATCAGATGTGATAAATATTTTTGAATTAAAACCTCTGCATTGCAGAGAAACAGGACTACATGAAAAAAAGTAATCAAATGTTCAAGTTGCCTCTAGCTCACTGCCTTTAACTACAGACTGATTGAGAAGAAATGGCCATGAACTGTGTTGTAAAATCTGAATATATTCAAGAATAGGCATTTAAACTGTGTTAGATGTTTCCCCTAAATTACCACCACCAGTCTGAAACCTATGATGGTGTCTCTGACCTCCAGGGGTGTAGACTTTTCAATTTCCTAGGGGGGGAAAACCTGGGCAAGGGGGCTATTCTAATTTGTTTATATTTATTTATGTATATATTTATATTTATATTTATGTTTCTAGAACCGTCCTTCATCAATAAATCTTATACGGTTCAAAGCCACATTAAAATAATAAGTATTCAACAAAAATATTCAATTTTAATTAGAATATTATATACTACCTCACCATTTCAGTCATTCAAATAAATATTTTATCAAAATTATTTTTTATTTTAAACAATATCTGTATTAATCAATGATCTTCCATTTAAACATTGGAACAAGGGTATGGTTTAAGAGCATAAAATTTATTTGGGGTAGTCCGTACTGGCCAAATAAATTGGCTTCTAACCACTTTGCAGGTGGGGTGTTCAGACAACACACAAGACAAAATCAGATGGAAGATGAAATGAAGTTGCACTCCAGACCTACAAAATGAAACAAAAAGAACCTAGGACACTCCAACTCAAGGCAGAAAATGTGCATCATCTCATAGACATATAAATGATTGTGCTTTGCCAATGTATCACCGGGCACACCAATGCGCTGTACAGGTGGTGAATGTCACATGTGACTGTGTGGCTGGTCATATGGGTGGCTGTCCAATGGAATGGCATTTTACCAGGAACAGGGAGGTAATTGGAGGTTGCAGCCAATGCGTTTGTGTAATGGTGGACATGCATCATGGGGAAGCAACAAAAAAATAAATTATCACACAGCATGGCTTGATGGTGCATGGTGCAGACAGCCTATAGGTGTTTGGCCCACCTTGGGAGTGGCCTGTTGGGACAGCAGGGTTTCAACCCACTTTCAGAAAACCCAGGATCAAGCCCATCTGTTCTGGCCCTTGTAATAAGGGGATAAAAGAAAACTGGTATAAAATGTTTTTCAAGTGGCATCTAACACGAGCTAGGCTAGCTAAGATGTACAAAGACCAAAGTAACAATGCTGGAAGTGTATGTGTACTGAGGATAGTTTTTTTTCCATGCTTCATGGACAAGTCAAAAAACAAAGATCTCTGGATCCAGATCATAGAATCATAGAATCATAGGGTTGGACTGGATAACACAAGGGTTATTCAGTCCAACCCCCTGCCATGCAGGAACTCAAAATCAAAGCATCCCCAACAGATGGTCATCCAGCCTCTCTTTAAAGATCTCCAAAGAAGGAGACTCCACCACACTCTGAGGGGATGTATCCCACTGTCAAACAACTCTCATTGTCAAGAAATGTTGAGGTGGACATAGTAGTTTCCTGTAGTTTGCATCCGTTGTGCAGTACCAAATAATCCCTAAAAAACTATTGACAAAAAGTTTATTCAGAGATCATGAAAGACATCTTTCAATAAAAACTTGCCAAGACTGGAGGGTGAAGAAAAACAGGTGATAGCAGTCAAGTAACAAGAAATGCTGAACTTACTCTGGAGCTGCTATAGAAAGAGTGTGCCCAGAACCAAAGGTGCTTCTGAAGACTTGTGGTGGAACAACAACAACAGGACAAACCTCTTCTAAACCTCTAAATACATAATTGTTTGTGGAGAATCACCTCCTAAGAGTGTATCTACTGAAAGGACCAATATGGGAAAAAGGGAAAAAAGGCAACATACAGCTTCTGCAGTACAAGTTGCATCTAAACCTAAGAAACAACTGGAAGTTGATGCTTTGGGAGTTCCTGCATGGCAGGGGGTTAGACTGGATGGCCCTTGTGGTCTCTTCCAACTCTATGATTCTATGAATTTCTTAACATCCAGACAATCTCCTCCTGTAAGTAGTTTATCTCCCTTCAATTTTTCTGCTGGACAAGGTATGTTTGAGCAAGAATTGCAAATGGAAACAGAAAATCAACAATTTATAAATTTATCCTCATCCTCTCCAAATGATCAAACTGCTGTTTTGTGCTCAGCAGCTGTACAATTTTTGAAAAATGGAAATGAAAACACAAATACAAGTTTGATAAACTTAGAAAGTCTAGGAAACTTAGAAAACAATAAAACATCTGACCTTTTAATGAAACAAAGCTTGCTGACATCACAAACTGTTATTTCCATCTTCGAACAGCTGGCTACAATAAAAAATGAGGTGGACTCCTTAAAGGAGGAATTTACAAAGTTAATGAGCAATCAAGCAAAGGATGTTGATACTAAGGGGGGTTGCAGACTGCCAGAAATAGTGCAAATTGAGTCCACTTTAAGGGTTAGGGTTAGTGCTAGGGAATCATGGGAATTGTTTTTTTTTTTCTGAGACATTGAGCCTTCTCTGTCAGAGAGCTCTGGTGCCACAATAAAATACAGTTCCCATGATTCCCTAACCCTAACCCTTAAAGCGGACTCAATTTGCACTATTTCTGGCAGTCTGCAACCCCCCTAAGACACAGAGTCTTTGCACTAAGTGTAGGAAGAATGTTACGAAAGCACCTAATGAGAAAGTCATGAGAAACCTTGTTCCCACTCCTACTTGGATAACAAAGGGGGGAAAAGTAACAAGTAGAAACAGCAGATTACAGACTTGGGGGAAAATGAGAAACAAATACTCCCTGACCAAAGAACCAGGAAAAAAAGGTATTTAAATACTAATTACCTTTTACAAACTAAACAAATTACTCTATTAATATTAAATGACGCATTAAATATGAGAAGATGGAGTTCAAAAAGAATAATTATTTAATCCTTAAGCCAGCTATTGCGCTGTAAAAATGAATTGGTTGACTTACAAAGGGTTGAATGGCTTCTACCCAATGGAAATTATAAAAGAACTCTACTTACTTTTGGCCAATGTACAATTCCTAACATGCTGTTTAAAATGAGGTCTTTTTTGAACTTATTTTCAATCTCTCCAACACGTGTGTTTCGTTCAGAAGAACTACACCCACTTTTACCTCAATCAAGACCATAGAGAGTTGCCTTCTTAAAAAAATAAGCATGAGAACTTGATTTCAAATAGCCCTAAGAATAATAAGCCAACCATGCCCTTGGGTGATGCTAGCATGGGCAAACATTCTGCTCTTTCTCAGACTGAACAAGATGCAAATGACTCTTTGGAAGGAAATTTGATAAATTTATATAATACTTTGTTGGACTTAGAACAAGCTGACATTATTAAAAGATTAGATGACCTAAGGAAAACTTTAGTGACAACTCATAAAACTGACAATCCATTAATTGATATGGTTATATCTACTTCACAAATCAACAGTAATATTTCTGGGGAAAAAGAAATAGATCCCTTTGAAATTGCCTCTCCTATCCAGAAATCAGATCCACAAAACTCCAATATAGAATTACTTGGATCTGATCAAAACTGCTCTATCCTGTCTCCTCTTTAAACAGTACAATATTCAGTAACTTCAAACAACCAAATGTTGAATACAGCTGTTAGAAAAGAAAGGAGTCTTATTTGCTTAGTTAATGACCTAGACAACAATTCATTACCACCTAAAGAGATACAGCAAAACCCTGCAGTAGATATTTATAACAACCAGAAAAGTTCTTCATCAACAAAGTGGAGATCCCTACTTGCTGAAGACCCATACTTTGCAGCTCACGCTGCTCTGATTTTTCCAGATCCCTCTACTGAGCTTGAACAGGAGTTGGGAAAGTTGACTGCAAATATGATGCTGCAATTTCCTACATTAGAAACATAGCAAACTTCGTCTTGGCAGAGACAACCATCTTTAAATTATTATAATTTAGTAATTTAATCTTAATTTTAATAATTGTAATTTAGTAATTTAATAATTTTAGTAATTTTTTTAATGCCAGTAGTTCATTTTATATCTTACAATGTCAGAGGTTTGGGATCCATATCTAAAAGAGCCAAAATATTAAAACAGGTCACTTCTCTTCACCCTAATATTATCTTGTTACTGGAGATCCATAATAAGTTGAATAAGCCAGTGCTTCCTCCCTTAAGGTTTGGGGAACAATTTGTTGCAGGAGGCTTTGGTAAAGCCAGAGGAGTGGCTATCATTATAGATAAGACCACTCCATTTTCTGTACAGAAGGTGAATAGGGATCCTA